AAAAAAAAAAAAAAAAAAAAAAAAAATGAGTGACATAGGGTCTGTACTTTTCATTTAAAAATAGTCACTTTTAAGATGCTTTAGTTATTTTAATAAGAAAGGCACTATATATTGTCTTTTGGATCCAATATGTAGGAAGAATAATCTGATAGCCTCTCTTATACATAGAAAGGATTATTTTTTAATGTGTAGAATTATTCGTTATATGCAGGAAGAGAAACTGGAGTCTCATTTGCAAAACCTGTCCACTCTAATGGCACCAACGTACAAGAAACTCGCACCGGATGCATATAATAATCAGGTAAGTTTCAATAATTATTGACAGTGATTGTAACAATGGAAAATGGTATTATATTAAGCCATGGAAAACTTTATCGTGATCTAAGTAAGTTCAGCTTAGCAAGTTCATCTTGTAGCCATCATGAACTATAGGGACTGGATTTACCTTTACACATTTAAGAACAAAACAGACAAAATATATGAAACAGTGGTTTTTAGACATAGAACAAGCAGCAGCAGTGATACCGGAAAGAAGGAAAATAAAAAGATGAGCTCACGATTGCCCTGGCTTACTTCCTGAAGAGAGTATTAAGTCCAGGAAAGGGAGTAGGAACCAAAGCATTCTCTGGAATTATCTCTGCATTAAGGAGACAACGTTCAGAATTTGGAGCGGTCAAGGCGGCTAGAATTCACAATTGAGAATGCCAGAGAGGAGACGGGCGCATCGAGAAGAGCCCCAGAGATCTGCACGGGCTTCTGCTCGAGTGTTTGTTCAGCTGAGCTCTGAGCAGGGCTTGCACGCGAGGAAACTCAAGGCTGGAGAAAGCGCCGCCAAAGCAGCGGGAGCTGGAATAGTTGTCGCTCACACCAGCCGGAGAGGGAAGACCCCATCCAGCACACAAGCTGCCACGTAAAGTATTCAGAATTGCGTTGCCTTGGTAGTGGAAGTAGGTTTGGCCGTTCTGGTCTCATCTAAACATGTTTAAAATCAAGACTTAAAAGGATCGAAATGATTCTAAGTAATTTAACAGCATATCCCGGAACAAAGATTGGGGGGAAAAAATTCTAACAACCCAAAGGTAATATTTATGATCTCTAGCATCCCATCCAAAAATACAGGGCATACAAAGAAACCATAAAATATGACCCACAGGGAGAAAAGTGAATAGACATAGTCCCAGAAGTGACATAGAATATGTAGAAAAGGTCGTTAACGTGGTTATCATATTCCATATGCTCAGAAAGAGAAAATCATGAGTACAGCAAGGAAATATAGACAGAAAATAAGACCTCCATTGAAGTTCTAGAAATAAAGTATTATATCTAGATAAAAATACAGTAGATGGAATTAACAGAAGATTAGTAAACTTAAAGACAGCAATAGAAGTTTTTCAATATAAAGAGAAAAAACTGAAAAAATGAAATAGATCAAAGATGTACAGAACAATATTTTTACGCTAATGTATGTATAATCGGAGTCTCAGAAAAAAGTGGGAGACAGAATTTTTTTAAAAATTTTTTTGGATTCATTCAAAATAATAAATCTATAGACTCCAGAAGCTCAGCAAACCCCAAGTAAAAAAGCAAAATGAAAGACATGAGGAAAACTACATAAAGATACATCATAATCAGTTTGCGTACAATAAATCTGAAAAGCAAATGGAAATTTAAAAAGATATTACATCTATTGGGGGAAAATGGCAAGAAAGAAGGTACAGGATGTATGTCTTTAACATATTAAAGGGGGAAAAAAACTCTATCAACCCAGAAATCTATAACCAATGAAAACAACTCTTAAAGAGAAGGCAAAATAAATATTTTTTTTCCCTAGACAGTCAAAAACAAAGAATTAACCATCAGCAAACAAGCACTTAAAAAATGATAAAGAAAGTTCTTCAGGCAGAAAGTGATACCAGCCAGAAATCTAGATTGACATAAAGGAATGAAAAGCATCAGAACTAGTATACATGTAGGTAAAAAGACTTTATTTTTTAAATGTCCTTAAACGATAACTTGCTATTTAAAATGTATGTTAACAATGTACTGTGAGGTTCAAAACATTTGGAAGGAGCGTAGAGGCTGAGAGTTGAAAGTGTGCTTTTCCGTGTGCTGCCTGACTGTGGACCGTCAGAAGTTAAAGACTACACCGTAAAGCTTACAGCAAGCACCACGTAACAAAGTATATAGCTAAAGAGAAAAATGGAATCAATCCAAAAAAGTTAAAAAAGGAACAAAAAAGGCAAATATAAAACAAATAGCAAGACGGTTTACTTACACCCAGAGGTATCAATAACCACATTAAATGTAAATTGTTTTTAACAC